GAAGGCCTCACTCACCCGAAGGCCCACTCACCTGAAGGCCTCACTCACCCGAAGGCCCACTCACCTGAAGGCCCCACTCACCCGAAGGCCCCACTCACCCGAAGGCCCCACTCACCCGAAGGCCCCACTCACCCGAAGGCCCCACTCACCCGAAGGCCCCACTCACCTGAAGGCCTCACTCACCCGAAGGCCCACTCACCCGAAGGCCCCACTCACCCGAAGGCCCACTCACCTGAAGGCCTCACTCACCCGAAGGCCCCACTCACCCGAAGGCCCACTCACCTGAAGGCCCCACTCACCTGAAGGCCTCACTCACCGTCGGGCCCACTCACCCGAAGGCCCCACTCACCCGAAGGCCATTGACCTCCCAGGACGCACACATCACGGCACCGGCCTCTCCGCGTGAGCTCAGAGCCCCGCTTCCTGCCGGGATAAGACAAATCGCTGGGCGATAAACGGAAAGCCAGAAGGACGGCGTGCCGTTTGCCCCTCTGGCCCGCCAGCGCGTGCTTGATAAAGACGGGACTTGGGCAGGCGGCCTTCTCCTCCGCGCCCGAGCACTGGCGCGCAAACGCCTCTCCCCACCGCCTGCCCGTCCCGCCTGCCCAGGCTGCCGACCCGCGCAGCCACAGCCACAGCCGGGAACGAGAGACGCTGGCGGGGTCGTCGGAGCCCTGGTGCGTGGGCAGCGAGTCAGGAAAGCCCACAGCGGGCACCGCGAAAGCCCTCAGCAAACAGTAGCTGTCGGCGCTGTTTAAATATGGAAAGGTTGTCCGTGTGCAGCCTGTCCCCCTCCGGGTCTCTCCGCAGGGACCCCAGCGGTGCGGAACACGGCCAAGATACTTCTTCGAATCAATTCGAATCTTCTAGATTCTTCCCTTACACAGAAATCTGCCCCGTGTGGGAATTGGTGCTGGGGAGAAAACGTGGGTTTGGCGTCACACAGACCAGGTGACCTGGGGCGAGCCACCTCACCTGTGTTTCCCAGTTTCTTCATGACAGTGACAATGTCCCCACTAGGGGAGGCCACAAGGGTCAAGGAGAGAAACGCGTGCAAATCACCCGGCACAGGTACGTGCTTACCTGAAGACGTTCTCCAGAGCTTCCCTGCCAGAGTGACCTGCTGGGAACGGGCCTCTTGGCATGTCGTGCAGAGAATCCACAGGACGTCCGTTCTCTCTGAGGGTGCTGGGTGTCTACTGTCTGATTCTGCAGAGCGGACCTTTGGCAGACGGCCCCTCGACCCAGGGAGGGCGCCGCTTGTCTGCGGGCCGGATGTGGGCGCCAACGCCCAGCGTAGGGAACTTGCGAGCGGAGCTCTGGCCTCCTACGTTCACGCGGAGAGAGCGTGTGAGCTTTGTGGCAGTTTTCAAACATGTCCACAAATTCTCCTTTCTTCATTCCCTCCCCCTGAGCGCGGGCTGGACTTTGTGACTTGCTCCTAACAAACAAGCACAGCAGAGGCGGCCGAGCACAAAAGGCTCTTCGGCTCCTTCTCGGGCCTTTCTCTCGGGCCACCGGCCCTTGAGTGCGGCGCTGCTGTGCTGGGAGGACACGCAAGCCGCCGCGGGCAGGTCCGTGTGCCCCGCGCCCACAGCCGCGGGAGCGGCGTTCTGCAGGCGCATCTCTGGCCGCAGACCACGCCAGCCCCGGCCGACATCCAGACGGCAACCGCAGCA